ATGTGAGATGATGTACATTCAGAAATAATCGTACGAGTGTCGTTGACCAATTGCAATTAGATGAGAAAATGGACGAGTGTTTTTACAGTCATAATAAGCTACTTGTTAGAATGTTGTGTTTGAATTGAAATAGAATTTTAAGATTATTTATTATTTTCTTCTGGTTTGACTGATGGCAATAATACGAGTGTTTTAATAGTCATAATATGTTTTTTGTTAGAATGTTGTGATGTGTTTGAATTGAAATAGAATTTTAATATTATTTATTATCCCCTTCTGATTTAACCTGCGGTAATAATCTCTTCCATATCTCTGGTATTTGCATTGAGTCATTTCTGTTGCATGTATTGGGTGTAGACTCGATAAATAAGGATTCCGTAATCAACCTCTCTCTCCACTTAGCTAAATTACTTTTTAGAATTTTAACCCTATCCCACCCTATTGTGTGGTTGTTTGTTATTGCATGAAGTGCAATAGCTGAGCTTTTTTCTAAATTACTTATCTTTTCAGAGCCAACCATTCTTACCTTAACTAAATTCTTATGTTCTGTTAATCTGACCATCCCTGAACTACTAGTTTGACCTATGTAGTTGACCTCACAGTCATTGCAGGGTATTTTGTAAATTATATTATTTTGTTTAATTGAATCCACCGGATCTTTTAGCCTACAGAGCTTGTCTCTGAGTGAGTTTGTAGGTTTGAATGCCACCCTAATTCCTGCTTTATTAAGAATCCTACATAGGGCCTCAGATGTCCTTTTCTTATATGGAATAACAGTGGATGACTTATATTCTTTCTTATTTGTGTTATCATTAATAGTTTCACCATTATTTTTATTTTGGTTTTTACTAATCTTCCTAATGAATTTTATAGGATAGTTATTCAACACCAACGCTTCTTCTATCTGTTTTATTTCATGATTTAGGTCTTTTATTGTGCTAATTAGTGCTATGTCTCGGTTTGTTAGACACTCTACTAAGCCTGCCTTAACAGTTAACGGATGAGACGAATTAAAGTCTAAATATCCATTAGAATGCGTTGGTTTTCTATAAACACTAGTGTGTAGTTTGCCTTCTTCTATTCGTTTTATTTTACAATCTAACATAGATAATTCTCCTAGTTCATTTTCTGATTCAAATGTGAGTTTTATTCCCTCTACTTGTGAGTTTATATGTGTCAGGAAGCTACAGATATGTTCTGTTTTTAACACCGTGAAAGTGTCATCCACATATCTCCACCATATTTTTGGAGTGGGGTTAGACGTATTAAGAGCACTACTTTCCCAGCTGTTCAATGAACTAGGAGAATTAGCTATGTTAGATTACGGAATCCTTATTTATCGAGTCTACACCCAATACATGCAACAGAAATGACTCAATGCAAATACCAGAGATATGGAAGAGATTATTACCGCAGGTTAAATCAGAAGGGGATAATAAATAATATTAAAATTCTATTTCAATTCAAACACATCACAACATTCTAACAAAAAACATATTATGACTATTAAAACACTCGTATTTTCCATCTGATTATAGTTGATCAATAACACTCGTATTATTGCCATCAGTCAAACCAGAAGAAGATAATAAATAATTGAATTGAATTCTTGATTTTCCCGTCGATTGATTGGACCGAAGTGCTCGGTCTCAGGTTGACATGTCGGCTTCTTGTGCAGATGCTTCGACGATGTCCGGGAATTTAGTTAGTATACAATTGGTGGATGGTGGCTAGCAGTGGAATCCAGGATGCGCATTTCGTCCTATTTGGGACTCGTCAGCTGGATGTACCTGCATTTCTCAGTGAGTGATGATGTTCCCACCGAGGCTCGAACCCAGTACCCATAGTTTCGAACGCCAAAGCATTACCCACTAGACCACCTGGGCCACGAGAGCCACCTCTTGTGCAACGGGTCATAATAAATAATCTTAAAATTCTATTTCAATTCAAACACAACATTCTAACAAGTAGCTTATTATGACTGTAAAAACACTAGTCCATTTTCCCATCTAATTGCAATTGGTCAACGACACTCGTACGATTATTTCTGAATGTACATTATCTCACATTGATTTTTAATCCAATATCTAATCGATTCTACACATGTATATAAATGAAGAAAATAAGTTGTGTGAGTAACTTGATATGATTATGAGCAATAGTTTGTGCTCGAAACGTCATCAGTTCATATAACTGTACAACACTGTGTGTGTATCAAAATAAAATCTTATCTATAATGGAATTATACTCTACCACAGTGCCGAAGTTTTATACTTATATGATATTATTGGAACTAAAAGTGAACAATCCGCATTAAATAACTAATCACTATTTTATAATAACCAAAACTGCCTATATGATTTAAAATAGAAGTAATGCCGACAAACGAATGTGAATATCATCAAATTATTCAAATTCCTCCCTATACATTACAATACACATTGTACTTTTAGAATTGACTGCAAGAATGTTTCAGTATTCCTACGCTAATTTCAGTAGCTTTCAGTTTGATCACACACACACTTACACATAATCGAACAAGAAAACGAATTTTAACACCATAGTACCAAGGTATTTATTTAATTCCCTGAAAGATAGTTGAGATAGTTAATTAGCATCAAATGAGACATCATTGAAACGAATGAATGTAATAAAGAAGAATAGACTATTCCTGTAAAGAAAACTTATTTGAACTGAACACACATTTAAACGATTTGATTGTGGTAATCATGGATGTGGTGTCAGTGATTAGTCAATCACACCTCACATGGCTCAGGGCTCGATTCCCGGTAGCCGGCGCACTCCTTAAGGTAACACAGACGATAGTAACTACGGTAAAGAGGGAAGGTTGGACATGAGGCTAGAAACTCCTTCGAATGGAAACTAAATATCACAGTTACTCAAGCTTTAAAAGCTCAAACTTAAAGCATCCGTATGTTCCACTCGGAACGCAAGGGAATAAAACGTTTCTAAAGAAAATAATAAGTATACTTGAGTATATTAACAGATAACAAAAGCCACTCACTCACTCACTCACTCAGAGTAAAATCACTGATAACGACAATACAATAAAAATGGACGCCTAAAAATTTAATGAAAGCAGAAACACGCAGTTCAGCGAGGAGACTCTTTTCACTGAATTCCTTTTTCCCTTTAGCTGTACAATCGCATTTATATCCAGCAACAAAAGCGAATTCCCTGATGGCTCTACGAAATTTGTGTTCAACAACACCTTCGTATCTTTATCTGATTTTCAGCTAGAAGCTGTCTGTGTCTTCAAGCTGAAAATTCTGCGATATCAACTTCAAAGTTGACAAACTCCATACACATGTACAGTTGGACAATTTAATTAAATCATCTGATCTCACTACTTCCAACGAAGAATTACAACAATCCAAATCAGCAATCATCGATTGCTGTCATAAATACTTCAATAAGAAAAAAAAGCTCGCAATCACCTAAAACAGCGGCACCGAGAAGAATTAAAACAGTCTACAGATAACAAAGAAATACTGATAACTCATACTGATAAGGGTACTCGTGTATAGTTCTTTCGGGTCAAAGAGGCTACATAGAGAAAATGAAGAATATATTCTTCATTAGAAGTAAATTTTCTCAACCTTCCACGATCAAAGAAATAAAAATGAACAGATTGAGAAACAGCTTACAGGTGTCTTCTAAAAGAAGAAATACCGATCAGTTGATCAGCTGCAAGTATATCATCATATCCAAGCAACAGATTTAATAATACCAAGGATTTCAAGGGGAACTTAACCTGCAATTTCATCATCTCTTAGAAGAACATTTCTTCTCAAGAACGCTAAGATTAGTGTTCTCAAGTTGTTTAGTGGCCTGCAGCCGCCTGAGAGACAAGCTGTAGCATTTGACCACTTCTGAGTGCAAATATCAGTTCACTTGATCTTGTGATGTCAGGTTTATTGGTCATCCAACACGTATCCTATATAAAAGGGTTCAAAGGAAACTATCACGCATGGCTACAGAAAGGTACTTGTGACTCTATAATGAGTGCGATAATCGAACACCTTGTCAGCACTGGATTTTCTGTCTCAGCAAACTTATCCAACAAAGTAATTTGTACAGTGAAGAACAATTTGCCAAGGGCAATACTAATTCGTTTCCTTTGAAGTTCTGAAGCTCTGCATTTAAAAGAAAATTATTCATTGTAAAAACTTTATTATTTTCTGCTAACTTGACTATGTTTGTTTTATAATTGTTTATAACTCTTGTAATTCTCTCGATGTCTAACGAAATATCACTTTCTCCTTGTCTGTCTGTTTTCGACATAAAGCTTTGCACAAATGTGCGGCAGTTCAAGTCGCCACACCCCTTCCTTGTAAAACACAAAGCAAGAGAAGAAAGTAGAAGAAATGTATAATAGAGACAGTAAACAGAGGTGTGAGACAAAGGAATAGTAATGTCGAAGAATAACATAGTTTCATTGGAAATCATAAGTCACAAGGAGTGGATGCATCTGTCCCAGCCATTGACAACCATCACTTTGAGCCATATCACCAATTGTCTCCACCCATTGGTTTTTACCGTCCTGAGGTTCCCAACCTGGAAGTCTACACCTTCCTACGTGGCTTAAACTAACTGTTGTGGATTTCATTGACTGGTGCCACGTTTTGGTTTGAACACTCTCTTTGTCGTCCATATGCACCCCGATTCATCTTATTAGATGACTCTAATACACTTACTCAGGTCTTCTGATGCACTGATTGATATTGACAACTGTGATTGTGACAACTCATTGCTTTTATTACTACCGTTTTTTGTGTATGTGTGGTAATAATTGTACGTACATGTGATTGTACAGATAATTGTGGAAAATGAATTCCTCCATAGAAGAGCTTGTTTGTTGAATTACATGCTTTGGTCTTCATTAATATATACCTGTATGGGGATTATTTTTTGAAAAGTCTAGACATTTATCAGAACAATTGGAAAAGATTATCGTCCAACTAATGTTTTGCGCTTACCTTAAAACCAGAGAACTTTCTAGAAGTAAGACAGCTAGGATGTGATGAACAACTAAGACATTTGAATCTTTACGCCATGCATCCATGAAAAATACACTCCAAAATGAATGTAGATAAAAGCCCAATTGTAATGTATACAGATAGTAATAATCTGATGGAGTTGGAATGTCGAAGTATCCAACTAAAAAAAATTAAGATGAAAATAATAATAATAATAATCGTATCAGAGAATGAAATCGATTTATTGATTCATTCTGTTACATAGTTAAATAATTTTGATGAATAAATTCGAACAGTAAAATAGGAATGATTACTTATCTCCAACTGATCAAGAGATTTAAAGATTTAAAGTCTTTCATTCCCGATGGACATCAGTTGTAGAAGTATCTGAAGTCAGTGAGAATTCATCAGCTTATTTCATCATAATTCAGGAACTATTCAGAGACTAATCCGTCTATCATCCAGTTTTCAAAATAGAATTGAAGACCATTAATCAAGTGTCACAGTGATCATGTTACAAATCAGTTGCTCGACAGAAATCGAATCATTCATCATCTTTCATAGTCTTAACAAATAATATTCAAGTATTGGTTTGTAGGGATTTAGTTGATTGGTTACAGGAATTCATCATGAGCTGACATTGGTTAGAGAACCATTGGAAAACCAACTGGGAGTACTGGACAGCTGTTTCGTCAGCCTAGTTTAGGACTCTTCGTCAGTACGCACCGCTCCCCGGGATTTGAACAAATAATGACATCTTCAGTATCCGTATCCACTAGTATCATATCATTTGGTCATTAGTATATTATCACACCCTCTTTGTTTGACCTCTTTTAGTCACAATTCGTCTTCAAATCCCTCGATCACTAATACATACACGCTCAGTTATAGGAATGTCAATCAATCAAAGAACACAAAACAATAAGTATGTCTTTTAGAAATGTGATTAATTTCATCCTAAATAACTGACTGATTGGTTTCAACATAGAACTTTGCACCGATGTGCAGCGGTTCGAGTCGCCACACTTCACTCAGCACACGAAGCAGGAGAAGAAGAAGAAATAGTAAAGAGAAACGCAAAATAATAACGAAGAACAATATAGTTTCATTGGAAATCTTAAGTCACAAGGAGTGGATGCATCTGCGTCAGCCATTGACAACGATCACTTTGAGCCATATCACCAATTGTCTCTAGCCATTGGTGTTTACCATCCCGAATACCCCAACTAGGAGGTCTACATGTTCCTACGTGGCTTAAGCTAACTGTTGTTGTGGATTTCATGGACTGACGAGGCCATGTTTTGGTTTGACCACTACTGGCTCTCTTTTCCAACATGACCCTAGGTCAGCCAACATCGCCCGTTGAAGAAGGCGATGGTTAAGTTAGGCATGCGTAACATATGTCGTAACCATCTCAATCGATATAACTTCACAGCCTCGTCTACTGATTTCCCCACATCCTCAATAACTCAGAATTATTACTTATTATTATATCACTAAACAAGTCTGGCTTGAACTTCAGATCACACATAAGCTTCCTGGAAGAGTCTTGTTGTCTACTCCAAATAATGTAATAATGATTATAAAACTTGATTACTTTTTTTCATATGTTTATATACCGGACTGTCAACCCTATTTAAGACAAGAGGGTTTACAGAATAAACCTATTCATAGGCTGACTATATGAAGTTAACAATTTTGCATTCTTTATGGACAAAATTTAATCTAATAACTGAGAATTCTTTGAAACTTCTTCTTGGTGGTTCTAAAGGTTAGCTGTGAGAGAAGGTTACTGACGACTTTTTTTCCCCTTCACTTTATATGAAGGTTTAAAAGCATTGCATATCCCCACAGAGTTACTCTGTAAGATGATGAATATATCATCGGGGAAAAGGGGTCTAAAGAGAATTATATCCGGGAAAAACATACGCGAATAGTTCTATCGATGTTGGATTCCTGAAACTTATGTTTATGTCATGACCTTCCTTGAATTACCTCTGAAAAAATAGAGCTGATGCAAGTAGTCCCCTTCAGCTTAGTCAGCACTCAGAACTAGGTATGACATTAGTTGACTATCCAGTTCTCTTTCTTTCTAAGTTTGATGTAACAATACGGCTTATTAGCTTATGTACTTGAATCTTGGGTTTGAATCCTGCTCTCTTCCTAATTTAGCCTAAGCAACTGTATGTTACCCAAATAATACTTTCCGTGTACCGGAATGAATGACAATGAATGACGTATAACTATGTGAAGTATTATTAGCCCTCAAATACTGTAGATAATAGCCAGGTGTCAATGGAAAAATTGAAACTACAAAAACTATTTCAAATGACAAACCATAAATGAAAGTTACTTACTTATTCCATCGTGAATGTTTAACTTAGATAAGATACTTACCCTCAAATTTAACTCCACGAAGAGCTCGTAAAGGATATTGGAAGTCTGTTTTACCACTTAGTAATACAACTTTTAGGCTAAAAAGCCACATTGACAGGAACCAAAAAGCTTTCCAACTGGATTCTATCAGTTTATTAGATATTTCTGGCGTCACACCTACATGGTGAATAATTGTCTAAAAAATGGTAAAATAAAAATGAAAAAATTATTTTAAAAAAGTTAAAAGGATAGTGACTTATTTACTGAGATCAATGTGATTACAATCTTTGACTTATCTGTAATAGATACTGAACAAAGAGTACTCTTTTCGATAACCCCTTCATCATCAGGCTCTACAGTTATATATACACATTATAGTGAATGAATGAATTAGTGTTATAAACGACATTAATGCTGTGTAAATAACATCGAATCAATAATATTGATAGATTACAGCTCAATAGCATCAACATAAAATAAGCTGAATGTCAGAAAAATTAGGAAAGATAATATCGCAAATTCATGAATTTATAGTCTCTACTGAAGGCCGGCAACGGCAGTGGTAGGGGCTGGACTTGCTTCTCTTGAACACAGAGTACTGGTTGCTTGAGGCGAATAGTAATAGCCTCTGATGTTTGGAGCATGCGGTGCTTCGATGATTTTGGCAATTTATTAGGCACCCGGTAAATGATACAAAAGGATTCTTCCACACTGGCAGGCTTTGTGGCCTGTTTGCACCAGATCTCTGTCTGTCTGGATTCAACATAGAACTTGGCACTGAAGTGCAGCAGTTCCAGTTGCCACCTTCCAAATAGCACACAGAGGTAGACAAGATGAGTGAAGAGAATCAACAGACTTTGACAAGTATAAGAGTGAAACAGAATGGGTAATGGTAGAAAGGAATATGAAAGATTACAGAGACTGAATACATCTTCGCCATTGACAACGATTTTGAGCCATGCCACCTATTGTCTCCACCCATTGATTCCTAGAGTCCCGAGTCCCGGAAGTCTGCATCTCCCTACCTGACTCAGTTTAACTGTCAAGGATTTCATGGATTGATGCCATGTTTTTGTTTGGCTACCACTTATTCTTTTCCAACCTGGACCTATATCAGCTAGTAATGCCCGTCAGGGGAGGCGATGGTTAGGCATACACAGCACCAAAAGAAGTGAGTCAAGTATTGCAAAAATCTGTGCATATGAAGCTTGCATTTTTTAGTTGGTATATTTTACCGAAAATCCAACAAGCTGTAATTTCTCTCCAGTTACATGATATCCTTGCTATTGATATACACCCTAATTACCATCGAGAAAGAAAGGAATCAGAGTATTCGATTCTTAGACGTCCTTCTGACTAAGAAAGAAAGATGGTGGTAAATCAAGAAGTAATATATAGAAAACCTACAACGACAAGTCACAGTATACTCATTTTTTTTAACTTTTGCACCTTTGAAATCGAAAGGCGACTGTTCGATTCATACAGCCACGATAATCTTCTCAAAAGACACTCTCAATGAGAAGATTACAATTATCGAAGAACTATCCAGTGAAAAAGGCTATCCATATAAGTTCAGGGTTCAAAATATGAACTTGGAGCCAACGCAAGTCAGTAAGTTAACAGACGCAGAGAAGCCCTTTTTCATAAAACTATAATTTATTGGTGATAACATGAAAGAAAGTAACACAGAGCCTGAAGAATATGCAGTGATAAGAGGATACAGTGTCGCAGAGGTTCCATTTCGCTTCACAACCACTCTCCAATAAGCACAAACTACCTAATTTCGTCTCCAATACGTGTATCTATGAGTTTGACTGCTCCCGTGAAGCTCATCATCTTATTTTCAAACATCAACCTGCACGAGACAAACATTGGCGTAGCACACCGTGTAGATAGTGAACACAAAATTTGACATTATTAAGGCGCTTAAAGTTATTTGTTGCACTCCGTCCGACCGATATTAATTTTGCTTTACGAGTTCGTCATCCACATATAGTTGAAGCTATTGGAATCCACTTCGAGAAGCCTAACCTCTGTGTGTTCTTAATGGAGACGAGTATTTAGATTCTTAGCCAATGGTTTGCATGCTATGTGTTTGTCTCAATCAATCACCACCTGTTCCCATAAAAAGTTAACTCAAAAAATATTCATATAAAGAGAAATCTCATTTAATTCAGCAGTAAAGTTCAATTCTGTATTCGATGATTCAACAGATCCTTCAATAGATGGATGAAGTTTACTCATGAATCCCGAAATAGTTGAAAGTCTAATTTACACAAGTAACAATATTTTTCTCAGAGTACACAAAATGGAGAAGAAAATAATTAATAAAATATCATTCTTTAAAAAAATAATAACTTACCGTGAGAAATCTCCACTTAATACAAAGTCGTAGAATGGTAAGTAAAGCACCCACTAACACTGCATGCATTATTTGCATAGGATGTATGGCTATGAGGATACGACGCGCAAAGACATACAATGATGGACAACGTGACCAATCAAGACCTAGTTCTTTGAAAGCAATCCATGCTTTTGAAAGCATTTCTATGTAACCTGGCATAGGATCATCACAATGTTTGAGCAATGATTCAAGAAATTCAGGAGGAAATTCTTTAGGATCAGGGTCTGGTAACAAGAATGGTATATCTTCTATGCGAGATGTATCAGATATTGGATAATACTTCCCAGTTTCTGGATCAAAGATAGTCGACTGACAGTATATTGCAGGATAAAATGTAAACAGTAGGAAAAAAATACACTTCTTCGATTCAAACATTAATTCTTGATAACAGATAACAACAGGCTGGAAGGTAACACGGTAACCGGAAAAGCTGATGACGGAGTAGGTAGCTCAGTTCAAAGATGACTAGATACAGGCACTAGATTCACAATAGTCTAAAACAAAAATATGATTTTATTATTATTATTATTAGTATAAGTGGAAAGAATAATTCTTTTATTACAGACATTCCATTATGTTAAAAGAGCAGTGAGTCTATTGTAAATCCCAACTTTATATAATAAGTATACATCATCATGGGTTGAGATCGGTTAAAGAACCATTGGAAAACCACTAAAGAGTACTGGACAGCAGTTTCGTTCAAGTTTATGGCTCTTCATGAGTACCTACCCACAGGAGTTTGAACCCAAGAACTACCGGTTACAAAGTGAGCTCCTATACCATTAAACCACTGGGATGGGATCCGATCCAGTGGACAAGCCATGAACTCCAACTTCTGCCGATTTACGACATATCGCGAACACTAGCCGATGTCATCAGTGAATATTTGTCCCCATACTCTCAACCTGCTGGTTTTCTAACCAATGTCAGCTCATGATAAATTCCTGTAACCAATCAAATCTCTGCAAACAACTACTCGAAAAATTATACATCAGACGTAAAGAGAAAATAAAGAGAATCAAGATTAACGCAATAGTCTTTCATAAGTGAAAGAAAAAAAGATGACTAATTTTCAGAATGAATAGGAATACACATTATGAAAATCTGTTTGAGAAACGTACAAACACTGGATTATGCATAAGAGCATGGAAACCTACGATAAGGTGGTTGTTAGTTACGATGTTACTCAATGGTCGGTCAGATAGCAATAGTTAAAGGGGTGTGTTTAACTTTGCTGAAAGAATAACCTTACTCAATTAGAACCATAGCATATAAACAAGAAAATCGATAATAACTTCATTCAGCCTTACCATAACAGAAGAACAACTAAATAAAGAATCACATAGTGTTATCCAATGGTGTCATTATTCCACTTTGTGCTATTCGTTCCCTGGTTTAAACTGTAACCTAACCAGACTTTAGCTTGGAATACAGCCCGTAATAGCATTCAAAGTGAGGAACTTATACCGAGATTAACTGAGTCTCATTGTTATCAATCAACAGACAAGAAACTGAAGAAAAATGATAGCAGAATAAAACTAAGAACTAAAATAAAAAGATTCAAACGGTTTTTATTAGCAATAATAATAATATCTATTATTGAATACAGCCACAAACATAACAACTGGGAGTTCTATTTTTTTTGGTTGGAGGATTTCATCATGAGCTGACATCAGTTCAAGAACCATTGGAAAACCTGCAGGGAGTACTGTACAGTCAACTGTTTCCTCCTAGTTTGGGACTCTCCATCAGTATGCACCCACCACAGGGATTCAAACCCAGGACTTTCCGGTTACAAGGCTAGCGAGCTTGTTTACCATCAGGGCCATTGGTATCTGACCCGATCCAAAGCATGAATTTTAACTTCTGCCAATTCACCAACATAGAGCGACCACTTCGCTATGTCTTCTTGGATGAGTTACTGCCTCACTTTCAACCTGCTGCAGTGTACTGAAAAGCCGTGACCAGATTTAACAAACAAACAGGGTGATTTTGCACTTGGCATAAAGTGTTGGGATTTTGAAGTGAACGATCCTTTTACAGTAGTAGTAGCAGTAGTAGCCTCAGGATGGTCGGGGGTGGGTGCCTTGCGCTGCGGGTTGGCCACCCCTCCGCACACCTCTTGAAATGCTCCCATATGACCGGGCGTCTTACATAGCCTCTCCTGAGGAAGTCCTACTCACTGCCTTCACGTGGCGGAGGTGTTTCTCACCAAAGTGAGAGGGCGAAAGCGGATGCCCGGCGCTCTCCACCGGGTTGACTGTCCATTGGATGACGGTCTAGGGGAGATGGCTAAACCCTGATTCCAAACCTCCAACGACTGGCGTATGAAGCTCACTGGAGCTCACCGGCAGACGTATGGACAAAGGGCTTGTTGGATGTCCTGGATGTCTGGCCCCATTCAAAAAGGCGTATGAACCGAACTCCGGTCACCGGCTGCCAATGGATAGTGGACTCCTTACTCCACTCCTACTGCCTTGTAGGTCACACTTGGCTGTGTGAAGGCTAGAGCTGCACTCTCAAACAAAAGGCCGAGCGATGCTGGGGACATCACTCGTACCAAATTCCCATGAAACTTCATGAACTCTCTTACAAATTGCCGCGCCTGGGCAGCGATGATTCGAGACGTTCATGAAGCCGGCTCATCCTCCCGTAGGAGATAGCCGAAGTAAAGTAAAGTAAAGTAAGTAAGTAGTAGTAGTGGGTAAAGATGCAGGAGGTTATTGGTATTATAAGCGCTTGTATTTTTGTTGTGGTTGTTGCTTTGATATGGATCTCAAACTCTCCGATCATATTTTCTGCCTATGCGACTATTCGGAAAGCATAATCTAATATATGCTATCAAGTCATCTTTTAGACAAAACATGTACCGATTACAAAAACTTCTTAAATGACTAGATAGATCAATATAAATAATAATAATAATAATAATAATAATAATAATAATAATAATAATAAAGGATATTTAAGGCTTTAACTAAGAATACCTTACAACAGGCAAACAAATCTCCCTTAAAAGACAGTGAAAACAAATAAAATACTTCTAGTTTCTTTGCTTTATTTTTTCAATAACAACAACAAAATAAATAGAAAAGAAAAAATAACTGGAAAAATATTCTGGAAAAATTTAGAAAGACAAAAACTAACAAAAATAAAAATGCACAAAAGTTGGCAAAATGCAGTTTTCTTTCTAGTGGATGTATATATGCTGTAATCATTTATATGGTATTTATAGTCAATCACATTATTAAGAATAACTAATTACACTGAAGAAAAAAGTAAATAAAATAAAATAAAATAAAATTGATATGATGATGATGAATGGGGAATTTCACTATTTCCATGAGAGTAACGTTTCCACCTCTCTTTCACTAGATGATGCTCCATACGCCTCCTCTTTACTATTCCATCTATATCCCATAATATTTGGTTGCAGTTTGTGAAGTGCTTTATCCTGAGCAGTTAAAACATTTTTAGATACTTTGTGAACTTTATTTGTTGATGAAGTATTATTCTGTACACATCTGTCTAATGAGTTGTGCGCCGATAATGATGATGATGATGATGATGATGATGGATAGGTGGTAGTTGATGAATCTGATGATGAATTTTGAATTTCAGAAAGTAATGTTAAATAGGCATTTCTTTTTGAATACCAGTTTGTTCTGATTACATTATTTTTATCATTATATGGTGGATTAACATCTGAAAGTGCGGTAGACGTTGAAGCTTTCTGGACAACTGATTGATTAGGAAGTGAATATTTCGACGAATCCTCTATTTGGTCATTTATCTTGCCTTTTTCAAGCTTTTTTCTTAATGGTTGACAGTTGTCATTAACAGATAACTGTAACAGTGAAGAGAGCTCATTAATCGATGAGGAATTAATCTGTCCTCTACTTTCCACCAGCTGTTCACCAATCGCCCTAGTAGTCTCCATCAACTGATGAACATTTATCATTTTAACATTGGATTTTGGTGAGGATTCTGATGGCGAATTGGAGGTAATTATTTTTATGATATGATCATCGAAGATGAAATCATTATTATACTTTGAAACGAGTCTTCGTATTCTTTCGGTTTTTCGTGGAGTACTACTCACATTTTTCCAAGTATTTATCGGAGTTACCTGTATTAAAAAAACAGAAAAATATAGTCGAATGAATAAAATTAGAGAATTACATTTCATGTTTTAATGAGCTTAAAAGTTAAATATTTTGATAATTAACTATGCAAAAACAAAGGAACTAACATTCTATAAGTAGTTCATTTCGTCCATCCAATGAGTCAAGTCAGTGATGCACACATTTTGATAAAAAAGCCACCTTAATATACCCCTGAGAGAATTGGATGGAATAGTAATAATCAACCGAAAACTATGGGGTCACAATCAAACAAATTTATGTTACGCAGATAGCCTCATTTGGTTTACAAACCGGTCCTAAACCCAGAAAAAGAGGGCAATTTGGATGACCCTATCCTATATTACCCCCAGGAAATCAACTCGACCGCTACAGAAACTACAAAACACAGAAAACATACACTATTCTGAGCTGAGAACTGAGAGGCAAAACGACGCTGGTTGGTGAAAGCCTTCGGGAAACTTGTCAACCGATATGTACTGTTTCAACAAGAGTGAAAATTAGCATATGGCACATAGTATGTCCGCACGATGTTCCAAGCTTGGAAGGCTGCTCAGATTGCAAAAGAAATGAGAATATACGGTGTTTGAATAAAGCAAGAACAACAGTGGTTTGTGCAGAATAATATGGTACCATCATTTATTTCGTCGGCTTCTCATCAGCTGCTTACAGTCTAAATAAATTATGAGGTTTAGGTACAGAAACGTTTTAGCATACTTGCAAATTGTACATGTTGTCAGTTGACAGAATGTTCCACAATTAGTAAACAGTGCTCAGAAAATTGCGTTTATATAGTTTTTACAAAGGCAGTTCAAGTTAAAACAAAATAAATGTATGCAGAAAATGGAAAGGAGTTACATAATAAAGATGAGATGTGCGTTAGATGCATAGTGACTAGTAAGTTAGGTGACAATGTGCTGAGGTGAACTCAAATAATAGAAACAAGAGACAAGCAAATTACAGATTATAAGAGGAGTGTGAGGTTAAAGACAAAGATTACGTAATCAAATGAAAAGGAGAATAAAGACATCCGGTTACCAGGTTAGCAAGGAAAGACTAGTAACTGCTTCTTTCTGAATATATAAATCGGGTCTCAAGCATTTGATAGAAATTGCTTCGGCAAACTTGAGAAGAATCGAGCTCTTTTGTCTATTGATAATTTTGAAGGATTTCTCAATTTCCACCTCATGACCCGTGTCGAGATGCCTGGTAATAGTGGTACTATAAGAGTTTGTTCCCTTGAGACGTAGGCTTTTCAGCACATGTTCAGAAAATCGGAGGTGCGCCCTTCTTTCTGTTCCCCCAATGTAACTGCTTCCGCAGATACACGTAAATTTGTATACACAGTTGGAGTTAACATGAGAAGGGTATCTATCGACTTTTGACTGCACCAAAGAGCATGTTGTTCGATGGACGGGAGGTCTCCAGAAGTCAATCTACCGAAAGCCCACATGGAATGGACAATACTTGCATTTTAATAGTTTTTGTCCAAATAGCTATAAACGAGCATTAGTCAAGACTCTTTACTATAGAGTGAGGAGAATATGCTCTGTAGAAAAACTAGAGGAAGAATAGACAAGTGCAATCAGTAATGGACAGAACCCCAACCATGCAGCAGTAGCGAAATTCTAATAGGTGACATGGATTTCAACAAAGCTGGGAACAGACAACATATCAAGAGAATTCATCATGTATCAAGAGGCTCTTGTTGAAACGAATGAGAACAGACTACTCTTCGCATACTCCTAAACCTCCAGTGGTTTGGTAACTGAAAGTAGCGTATAAAAACTTAAGGATATACACAAAGCGATTCGGGTTTCACCAGATATACTTTATCTCACTCTGAAAAATGTGGACGCATTATACTGAAAATGATTGAGAATGGGAGCACATTTATATAAGTGTAGAACTTGGGCATTGTGGTAGAATGTAATTTCATATTAGATAAGTTAATTTTAAATATCACACAGCGATGAAATATTAATAACTGGATGACGTTTTGAGGACAATTTGTTGTTCATAATCATACCAATCCAGTCACACGGTTCCACAATTTGTCTTATGTATATTTTCTCTGTCTCTCCAACTTCCTTTTGTTGTTTGTTGCCAATTCCAATATCTCCGGCATAGAAGGGGAATATATATATATATACTCGGATCACTGTCTATTGCTAGTACAAGGAAACTACACGATCAAGTTGATAGCCTTCAAAGTAACTGGAGACAAACCACGATTCAACTTCAACAATCACAAACCGTAGGACGAGAGCTACAAAGGACACTTTTGCAGCAGTTATAAGGAAAAGGTCGGGAACGTCAAGCAACACACCACTGAAGGAACTTCTGTGGAAGAACACTGAAACTCTCTGAAAGCGACTTGGAAAGAAACCTGCATAAACATCTTGATGGGCAAGAAGATGGAGCAGTGCAGAGATGAACAACGAAAGCAGAAGCCGAATACGATCTACACAGCGCTGAACAAAGCAGTGAAGAAAAGTGTTAGGAAAGATGTAAAACACTTTAAAACTAAAACAGAAGATTCATACACTTATTCTCCTTTATGAATTTAAATAAAGCAAAAAAATGCTTATGGTAGTTTGCATGCACGCAGTGACTTGATGAATTGGCGAGGGAGGCGGTGAGATTTCAAGCATCAGTCGTGGAACTGCAAGTGAGTCACTTCTTTGGATACCCTAGACCGAATTGCCATAGAGTAATCCAATAACTAGGAACATTGTGAGAGGTGCTTCATACACTTATTAACCTTTGTTTAAATGAAACAGAACAGAATGCAGCTAAGAGAGACATAAGAAGAGTACATAAAACAGCCAAGTGGCTATCCGAGAAGGGATTAACGCAGATGAAGCTAGTAAAGGGAACCCGATTAATAATGGTGGGACTGTGTCAACGCAGAGCTGACTGCTTTTAAAGAAACTAGAATTACCCACCACTCATCCAGAAATACTAACAGCAGACAGAACTGTAAGTGAACATCCACCATGAGATAGAAACAGGTCTAGAATGCCCTAAAGCTGCTAAACTCCAGCGAAGTACGGGGATTAGATGTAATCTCATCAGAAGCACTGAAAACGGACCCAGAGGCTTTATTAGGGACTCTCATATCGCCTACTGAAGGTGTAAAAGGGAGGAAAGACGTCTGTCAACTGGGAGAAAGGCTATCTTGCCAAACTTTAAAAGAACGGCAACTTAAACCCTTGCGAGAACTGATGCGGGTTCATTTTTCAGTCCACCCTAAGCAAAATGCTAAGTCAAATCCTCCTTGAGAGACTAGAAGATGAAATGAATGCAAAACTCCATCCGGAACAGACTGGATTCAGGCAAAACAAATCATGCGGAGAAATTGTGACACTAAGCGTCACTACCGACTGTTACGTAGCATGACAACCAACTCTCTACCTCAACTTCGTAGACTTTGGAAGGATCTTCGGTAGAGTCGAACGCCAGGTAGTTTGGAAACTACTTCACAAGCATTTTTAGACCTTATTCAACAACTATATGATGCTACATGCCCAGTGATTTATAACGGGAAACTCAACAAATCCTTTGAAGTGGAGACAGGGCTGCATTTTATTACCAATGATACTATTAATTGTAGTGGACTGGATCATGTGGTAGACTGTCGAGTGAGAAAAGGCGAATCCTTTGAACCGGCAAGAAGACTAGAAGATCTGGATTTCGAGGACGATTTATTTCTAATATCATACAAACTCAAAGACTCACAAAAGAAAACCAACAAATTAACAGAAGAAGCTGAGAAGACAAAACTTCAGATGGATATAGAGAAGGCAGAGTTGATGAAGATAGTGAAGATCGAATAGTTGGCTCCAAAAGGATCAGCAATTAGGAACTCTGACAACAAACCAACCAAGTACCTATTGTTCGAGAAATATGTAGAAGCAAATGGAGGTGAACTCGGCATGCTCTGAGGAGGCATTCAAGTGAAATCACATGCCGTCAAGTGGAACCTAAAATGGAAAGGGACTTGTTGGACGCGGATCCGAGAGTGGTATGGCGGTCTTGAGGGCAGTCGTGGAGTAACCCAGAAATGACAGTGGAGAACACAGTGTGGTGATGTGCCGTTGAAGCCCTATGTTCGACTGAGAACGCAAGGAATGAGTAAGTAATAACAATTTTACTCAGGCCAAGCAGCGAAACCCCAACAGTCTCGAATGATTTATTATTTTGTCAAAATCTAGTAGACAGCAGAATGAAACACAAGAGCTGAATACTTAATACAAAGCAATGCAAAACTTTGAATAGGGATGTCATTGTGTACCATGTCTTAAAATACAAAAAGAAAGTTGGTAGAAGTACAAGGGTACTACAATGAATAGAGAGAAGCGAAATAAGGGAGACAAAAATACACTGCATCACCATGGCCAGCTTTGGACTGTCATCTACCAACGAAAATCAGTGACTCGTACGGTTATTAAAGAGTAAAGCTAGACAACTTACATTCGCCTATGTTGTGTAGATCAATAGTTAATGACCTTGTTAAGCAGTGCCATATCTCGATCTGGTCAACCTATACTTTCTTCTGTTCTAACTCAATTTCAACTAACACTAGAAGGCTTTTCGAGAAGGTAAAGACTGAATACAAAGAAACAACCTTATGTCATGGTAATTATTGAATAGACCATGTAGAGAACACTTGAAAATGAATAAAATAATATTTACAACAACATGGACAAGAAAACTTCTTGAATAGAAAATTATTCTTCCAACGGGACTGAAGATAAGTTGTTTTCACTTAGATATTTATGGTGTTTCATTAATAAGTTTTCCATCACATACACTAAGATTAACCAGTAACGAGAAACTACAGACATAAGCTAAGATTAAGATACAATACTTGTAAGGTGGCTGTGTGACTTCATAAAATACCATCATCGTCATTGTTCCAAAAGTCAAAAAAAAATTTTGATTGGCATATCTAGTGTAAATAATACAATAAAGCTAATCAGCAGAGGTTAGAACTAGGCTATGGGCCACACCTACTACAATACCGCTACCCAAGCTGCAGCTGGTTGAATGACTTCATTCAAGGAACTAACAACTGCCGAAGCTCACATACCAATTAACTCACAAACTCCACTACTGAAATTACGTTTTTTATGTTGACGACTCGGATCGAGTTGGACAGATTTTAGCAATCCTCGCAGATTAAATAAAATTTAACACGGTGAAAATCGATGCGTTAGAAATAAGCTGTAATCCATATGATCTGCAAAAGGTAACCAACGCAATCTGACTTATGATTGGTTTCGTATCTCTAGAAGCCATAGATATAAGCCAATAAAATGAATTTGTGAATGCAGAAGGGATTGAAAAGAGTAGATAAATGACAATCACAACTGAGAATACCCCCACTCCCAAAATTAAAGTGAATTACTTGAAATCCCAAAGGTTATAGACGTTACAAGGAAACTTGAAGTTTACAGTTTGAACCAAAGGGGAAACTTGTAGTCTATAACTATTGACTCATTAGGATGCGAAGCAAACACCCTACTTCTACCGTAAAATGTGAAGGATGAGAATATGAGCAGCGGATTTGTGGAAACAAACTTACAACATACCTACCTGACTTATGATAAGCTTTATACAACTCGAAAAAAAGTAGCAAGACTTATTTATTTAAAAGTGAATAGTGGAAGTGCAACATTAAACCACAGCACTGACAAAGAATAATCGGGAGTGGGAATACAAGATGCTGAATAGGTACAAACAGAAAATGGAGAAGTTGATATGTTACGCATAATAAATGACCGCTATCCTCAATCGGCAATGTTACTCAAGTGATTATACTATGCAAAAAGTGGTAAGACCAGGGAAATGAAAGTTGGCTGCTTGTGGTCCACAGGAAGCTAAGAAAAATGGTTGGGAACTGCTGGTTATATACCTTAAAATCATATATCATAAGGGAAGTGTATTCACTCCTTATGATCTGAACACACTTAATATTCAACATATGGATTGGAGTCAATCTTAGCATGATTACATTACTTTCTACACTAATAACAGCAGAAAAAGCAAACTAGTGATCCTAAGTTACACAAAGAACTATTTCAAGACATCCAATTAAAGACACATGATGTAAAAATTTTAACCACATTGTAATCTACATCTTCAACAGGTATACATCATTATATGCTTAACTTTAATAAGCTGTTTAAAATCCTCTAATAACGAAGTGTGAAAGGAATGATAGATGCTAAACTATATTTTGTGTGACATTTCCGTTAAAAACTGTCAGTTCGATTCAACCCGACTTCGTAAGCCAAAAAAATGCAGTCTATATCTCATCTCTCAGTTTATTTAACAGGGTTTTATTTATCTACCATTTCATCACATAACCAACATAACGTAGGGTTTTTTTTGATTTACAGCTTGATTCCACACTGTACTTTTGGTACAAGTATGGAATTTTCAGCATGGATATCGGTAGCCCAAATTTCGCAGGCCGACCATAGATATCAGGTGCAACAAATGACAACGCTACACGATAAACATTCGCTACCCCTAAAACTGCATCAATCCATTACATTATGTAGAAATATGGCGCTACCGAAGTAATTGCAATGTCTAAATTATAACTGGTACTTCGAAGACACTGGTGCATTCATATGCCACCTATTATTTACGCTGATAATAGTTTAGATTACTTCTCAAGAATTTACGCCTGAATGAAAACATGCAGCAGCAAACAAACAAAAAAGCAAGTAAAAGACTTCGAGTGTGTTCCCTAAAAATCCCACTTTAGTCAGGAAACATGAAAGAGACATCAATTTGAGCAAAAATTAAGTCCACGGAAAAACCAAACAGAATGGACTTCTAACACTTATGTACACCAAGAAAATAGGTTAGAGCATATTCTCAGTTACGGTTGTCTGAGCAAGCGGCACTCCATCATAACGTACCTAGAAGTTGTCACTTTTGAACAAGGTGAATCAAATGTCACATTCGAATCAAGAAAATCCAAAGTAAAAAGTTAGCTTTACGACGAAGACATGGTAAGGCTGAAGTGAGATATTTTTTGTAGCAACTAAGGATAATATCTGATTATCAGGCTTCCGTGTGACGCCTACTCATATCAATGAAGATATTTGGCAGTGGTTGTTGGAATGTATATTTTTGTCTAGTATCCCATCATAACTGGGAACCTCAATAACGACAAGTAAACATTTATTCACTTGTTGCTCACCAAACTTCGAAGATTCTCCAGGTTCTCACTTACATAATCTGCTACCAATACCCTTACGGCATATGTCATTATTCTGCAATTCCTATACGAGAGCCATATAATTCCAGGATCACAATCACACATTCACAATAAATGAGGGGAATCAAGTTAACTTAAATTCGCTTAACGGCATAAAACCTGAGCTTTTAGAAGCGAATCTAATGCCAACAAGACGATAACTAACTACACGGAACAATAATAATCTGTACGAAAATTCACTTACCTGGAGATTTTCCTCCAGGTTCTCTTTGTTTTCTTCATCAACGGTTACGCTGGTATTGCGTATTTTTCTGATTCCCGAATTTCCACCAGAACTCATACTGATTTTGAAGTCCGTTTAAACTGAATACAACTTGGTTGAGAAATATCTGTTGCAATATCAGAAGTTTAGTTGTTTACGAATTCCAGCTAACTTGAGTATCTCGCTTTCAAATCCAAATATGAGCGGGTAAAACCTTCAACTGGCCAAGTTCCGTTAATCACTAGACTTCTGAATATATGCATTTAGAAAATTGTTGTGGTTACTTATTCACCAGGTCTCCTTCAAGCGCGTATGAAAATTGCACGAGACGACTGGCTCGCGCCAAAGGGTAACAGATTTGTTCTAGGCGGGAGTTCGATTTCGAGCTTACTATTGGTGTTGTAAAACAAAATTTGGTTTTCAATGTCATGAAATATCAGCATGAAGGTTAATTTTAGAACGAGGTGATTGCCGATAAAGATTATGCGGGATAGAAAAAGGGGTGGTGATCATTATGCTCACTAAGTTTATCAGCATTCAGTTGAAAATCACCTACAAATTTTAGTCAGTTCAGCAGTTCGTGCAGCGGAGCTGGGAACAAAATGAAACCCACTGGTGTTGACACTAAAGCCCAAAGGCCTAATTTGCTACTTGCTTCTCAGGTTTGGCGGAGAATCAGAAACGCATTCATTCACATCACATTTAATCCAGAACATTGTAGGGGCTGTATCCACGATTCCTATACAGGCTGAGGCAAGACAGCCCATGGATACTACTGAATAGGGAAAAGTAGCCAAACGGATATTGGGCACAGCTACAGCCACCAAGCGTAAAGCTATCAGAAAGACAAAACGAAGATTTGCAACAACAAATGTTAGCGCTACGAATCGGAGTCGGAAGAGATCAGTGAACTCAGTTGGGCGAACACAGATAATAATAATAATAATAGCTTTATTCCAAAAACAGTACTCATGATACAGCAAGGAATTTTCAGCATTTCAGTACAATACTGCATCTAATTTACTCAAAAACGACAAAAAAATTAAAAATACACATCACATAATAGTAATAAAACGATTGTTATAGCAGCTACGTAGCAAAATACTGTGTGCCATACGGAGAAAAATATGTATAAAGTACAAAATTGTAGTAATAATAGTGATACCAACTAAAAATAAAATATCAGAGTAACGATTTAAACGATAGAAAGTGTGACACCATAAAATACAGAAAGATGAACAATGAAAGGGTCGATTCACTGTGCTAATTACATAGTAACTTGTAAGTTTCACGTCTAACAGAGTCTTCATCACATAAAGTACGGGCTAAATAGGGTATTGTAGAATTTCTATACTTAGTAGTACGAGCATATATCTTTTTATATTGATTTCTCGTCCTACCTGATGAGATACAAGGGGACAGGTGTGAATAAAGGGGGTGCAGAGGGTCTGAGAGTATAGCCTTTGCCCATTTCGTACAGGAATTTATAATAATAATAACAGCTTTATTCCAAACGGTATTTGTGGTACAGGTATGGAATTTTCAGCGTGCATTACAGTATATAGCATCTAATTGCCTCATAAATTATATAAGATTTTTAAAAATCAAAGATAAATAAATAAAAATAAAATAAATTAGTTATAAATAAATAAAATAAATAAATATTAAAAATTAAGAAAAAACAGCGTAGAGTATTTCATTTCAAACAATGCAACACAGGATTTGAAATATAAAGTTGATGTGTGGTACTAGATGAGAACAACAGTGTGATAGTAACGAAGAAAGGAAAACAAAAACTAATGGGACTATTTGTTAGAGTGCCGCAGTAAGTTTATCGTGTCATACCTAACGGATTTCTCATCACATAACAGCTGTGCCAGATATGGTATTGTGGAGTTTTTGTATTTGGTAGTCCTTGCATATAGCCTCCTGTAGCTGCTTCTAGTTCTTCCAGATGAAATGCAAGGAGATAGATGCGTATAGAGAGGATGCTTGGGGTCCGACAATATTGTATTCGCTAGTTTCTTACATGACATAATATGTCTATCTACAATAGTGTTAACCAGTTGGTTTAACGATATCCCACTTGCCCTACTAACGGCTTTTAGTGCCCTTCTCAGCGAAGCAAAGTCTTTCTTAAGTAGTCCAGGAAAGACTAATGGGGAGCAGTAAAGGAGGATATGCCCCTCGACTATAGTATTAGCGAGCTCATGCAGTGGCAGACCACAAGCTCTACTCACAGCATTTAATACTCTTCGTAATATGATATAATCTTTTTTGAGAAGCCCAGGAAAGATTAATGGAGAGCAATAGAGTACAATAGGTAAAATACAGGAGTTTAAAAATTGCAAAACTAAAGGTTGGTTGATACCTGATTGTCTTAACTTTTTAATGTAGAAGGTAAGACGAAACATTTTCTTAGAGATAGATAAGATATGGGATGACCATGAAAGGTCAGAGGAAAAAACTAATCCAAGGTATTTAATGCTTGATTTGGTTTCAATTTCCGTGCCATCTATGCTACAGGGATCATGCGAGTTAACTAGTTCAAGTAAGTCACGTCGATGCTTGAAAGTAAAGTCAAGCACCTGACATTTGGAAGGATTTAATATAAGACCATTTGACTTGGACCAGTTGTTGATGTCCAACAGAAAGCTATTAAGTTTGGAGCTGTCAGACTCGGAAGTGATAGGCAGTGATACAGTCAGATCATCTGCATATTTGACAAAGTTAGTTTCGTTTGAATGAGGTAGGTCATGTAGGAAGAAAGAAAAAAGAAAAGGAGAGAGGACAGCACCTTGTGGAACACCGGATTTTGTAAGCGAGGTAGAAGAAGATTTGCCGTTATATACAGTATACTGCATTCTATCAGAAAAATAGGAATGCAACCAACTCTTAGCCCAGGATCCTGTTTGTGTCAACGATAGCTTATTTAACAAAAGGCCCCTAGGTACAGAGTCAAAAGCAGATGTGTAGTCTAAGAAAGCACTACGAACATATTTAGCACCTTTGTCTAAACAAGAGACAACATTGTGATATAAGACAACCGCAGCATCCAAGGTACTTCTACCATGTTTGTATGCAAATTGTTTAGGATCATTAAAAGGTTTCAAAGCGGGTTCAAGACGAAGTAAAAGTAATTTTTCCATCAATTTTAAAAAGGGGGAAGTAATTGCAATAGGCCGAAATTTAATATCAGAACCAGAAGATGGTTTTGGTATAGGGATAATTTTAATGTTTTTCCATGCAAAAGGTAGAACGTTACCGGAAAAAGAGCATTAAAAATGTTAGTAAGAGGATAACACAAAATATCAGCACAATTCCTGAGGACAATGGCAGGTATGCCGTCAGGACCAAGGCTTTGAGAAGGCTTAAGAGACCGGAGACATTTAAGCACATCAAGGGTATTAAAACCACTAAAGTTATTGTCAATATGATTTGTATCATTTGGAAGGGTATCAACAGAAGAGCGTATGAAAGATTTATTAAGAGTGTCAACATTAAGAGATGGAACAGAAATACATCGCTTACCGTTAGTAATTTCTTTGAAAAGTTTCCATAAATTAGAAGGGGTTTTACATGACAAAAATCTTTGATTATATAAAACACTTAGTCTTTTTATTTCCAGTTTTATCAGTATGTTTAACTTTTTTACACCAGGCTTATCATTAGTTTTGAACAACAGTTCTTTATTTCTACGTAGCTTTTTGAGATATGGCGAAGATAAGCGATCAAATCGAATGAATAATGTTTCTTTAGGACAACATATTTCGAAACAGAATTTAAGATAATCGGTAGTGTTTGTGATTGTTTCATCTAATGTTTGTTCTGTAAATAAGTCCCAGTTAGTGTCTTTCAACATGCATCTGAGCTTGTCTAGGTTGTCTTTTGAGTAGCATCTCCGTTGAACTTTACTGTAGAGGTGAGAGAGGACACCTTTGTGTGATTTGGAATATATTTTAGGCAGTACACGTATGATGCAGTGGTCAGAATTAAGTAGAGGAGCACGTTTGCGAGCTTCATATATACCAACATCATTAATGAATACTAGATCCAGTTTTTTACCAAGACGGGTGGCAAAGTTAACAATATTGTCATGACCAAGTGATATAAGGAAGGAGCAATCGCTTCCATTGAAGTCGCCAGTTACTATTGATAAAGAGTTCTCGAAACAAGCTGCAGCAAAAGCGGTGAATTCATCGGCGAACATAGATAAATCCAATATGGTACAGCCAGGAGAGACATAAACATTAGAAATATAAATGAATTTGTATTTTGACAAGTGTTTCGGGCGACATCTCACAGTGATGCAATCAATGAAGTCATTCGAGAATTTGAAACAAACTTTGTTTGAAATGGACCATTTTGAGTGAATAAAAGTTGCAACACCTCCACCACATTTTTTCTTGGAACAAACACGGTCTTGTCGAAAAACATTGAAATTGTTTAGAGACACAATATTGTCATCGTATGAGTCATGGAGCCAGGTTTCTTGTAGAGTGACAATACCAGTATTGTGGTAGGTACTAGAAGACAACAGAGACTGAAAATCCAGAATTTTATTAGGCAGGGACCGGCAGTTGGTACTAATGATAACTGGAACAGTGGTGTGATGTATGGGTGTAGATTTTAAGGCACGCTGCCAACCTCCATGGTGCTTTTTCTTGAGTTTATTGCAAATATGAAAGTTTTTGGGTTTAAAACGTTTTATAAAATCCCGGGAGTGGATAATACGATTAGAATGCATAATGTGATATGTAAATACCAATAAAATACGAGTAAATAGATGCAAAATGTACATGGAATGTGGTAGCCCAAGAATATTCAAACAGGCCGCCAAGGTCATTCGATGTTGATGCTGATGTAGGCACTATGTGCAGGACGGCGAAATTGTTTTATACATTACAAAATGTTTTTTCTCCGATTAGATCAGAAAATGTGAGGACATTTTGCCGGGTTTTAATGTGTTATAATGCTACTTATTATTGCTCCCTTTGTCTCCAAGTGGAACATAGTGCTTCAACAACACATCTCCACTTGGTTCTATTCTTTGCCTTCCCCTTCAGCTGGCTAGCCACAAGAGTGCCCATAATCTCTCGTCTTCTCTTCCCACAATCTCCTCCATCTCACCCTCTCACTGATGACACACTGGCCGCTTCTCATTCACCTTCCACTCTAGCTATGGCTTGCACCGCTCGCGATGTTGTTCGACTTCCCCCTAAACCTATGCCCGATACGTCTGTATTTGCTCCTGCATATTAGCTGAGCATTAGGCTGTTGGTTGGTTCCTTGTCAGAGCTTCTCACTGCTAATTCCTTGTGGTCATTTATCTTTAGCATGGAGTCAGAGAAGGTGGCGGCTGTTTATACAGGTCTGCAGCGGCCTTTTAGAGAGTACAAGTTTCTGCTCCATATAAAAGAACTCATATTTTTGTTGACTACATCCATATCCTCACTCTTATTCGTGCCTTCACTGAGAGAAGACACATCAACCGCCTGGCTTCTCGAAGGCAGGCTCACATTAGGTCGCTGTGTCACTTAGCTTCTCCGACTAAATTGGAGAATAACTTTGTTTTTTTATATTTTTTTGTATTCTAATGTATTTCTTGCACGTAGATGTTTCTGTAGCAGTTTGAGCGATTTTGGGGTATAGGGTTGCTGGCCAAATGTCCGACCTTCCCTCTGTTCTGGGCTTGGTCACGGCTATAAAACTAACGAGCTAGTAAACTAGGCGAGGGTAATGTGTCTTAAGTTACGAGTCAGTCACTGCGAAATTGTTTGACTCACTGAAAACGGTGTACTTGATTCGTTACTAGATTAAAATCAGCATAAGAGA